CGTTCTCCCATAAATACTAATCCCGAGACCCACGGGCGTGTCAAGCGGGAATTATCAAAATTGCCTCGTAGCGGTGCGACCGTTGATGCGTAGAGCCCGCGGCGTCTCGTCAACAATGCGTCCCCACGGCTGTCTCCGCAGCGACCCGCGCCGCGTCTTGTTCCCGCTGAAAGGCGGGNCAGGCGCGCGCGGCTATCCGAAAGAGACGCTCTGGTTGGGAGTGCGGCGGGTATCGCCACGGTTGCGGACTAGGANNACTTTGCGACGCAGGTCGCAAATTACTTCGGGAAGGTTGCAACGGACGCTGGGCATCGTCGAAACGTATCCGCAAATTGTCNAGTGCGTGCGGGGTCGGAGCGACCGCGTCGAGAAGCTGAACATGCGCCCGGTGAGCTAGACAACGCCAATAGGGAGGGTAATCACCAAGAGGAATCGGGAGAAGGACGCGCGAACTGGATGCAAAGCGGCGAGTATACAGGCGCTGTATAGGGGCAACCGTCGCAAGGCTGTTCGGAAAGTACTTTATGGGCCCTCTGAATTTTGCAAGGTGCAGAAAGATCGGGTCCATGAGTACATCACCGAGCTATACCGCCGCGGCTTGCCACTGGATGGTGCCGACGCAGTGGAGCCAGCGCAACCTCTAACTGCTGGTAAGATGGCGTTTCTTACGGATCCCTTCACGGAGCGAGAGGTCAAACGTCGCATNCGGCCTGTGAGCACTTCAGCGCCGGGGCCCGANGGGCTGTNTTACAAAGACCTTNGTGAAGCTGATNNTGGGTCACCTTTTNTCATTGCGCTTTTCAACATCTGGTTGCGCTTAGAGGTAGTTTCCGCGTCCTGGAAGAATTCCAACACCGTACTGGTTTATAAAAAAGACGACTAAAACGATCTAGAAAATTGGTGCTTTCTCGCTATGGGTAATACTACGCCCAAGCTCTTCGCGGTCGTAGCCGATTGAATGGCGGACTGGGCNATAAACTCTAAAAAGCCCAGTCCAGTGCAGAAAGGTTTTCTGCGAAACGAGGGGTGCTACAAGCACAACTTTGTCCTGCAGGAAATCCTGACAGACGCGAGGCGCTTTCGACGAGACTTGGTCGTGGCGTAGCTGGATCTATCCAACGCGTTAGGATCGGACCCGCACGCGACAATCCGAGAGGTACTAGCTCGGTCCGGCGTGTCTGGGTCCCTCACAATCTTGTGGGGGTTTATGTACAAAAGGTGCACGACATGTGTGCGCACGTCCGATGGACGGCACCAATCCTCATCCGCTCTGGATTAAATAGGGATGCCCGTTAAGCCCAATCGTTTTTTATTTTGCTAGAAACTCCGTGCTGCGCGGCCACCGCAGTAAACACGGGCTATACCATCTTGGGGCAGCGGTGGTCCGCACTTGCGTACGCGGACGATGTTGCCCTTATCGTGGATTCTTCAGAAGGGATGCGACGATTCATTACNGTCATGGAGACTGAATCGCGGTCGGTAGGTTTGCGATTTAACNCCGCAAAGTGTGCGAGCTTGCACATCCGAGCGGGGAGGGTGCATTGCGTCCTCCCGACCCCCTTTGAGATNCAGAGAAAGATGATACNCTGCCCTGTCAGAGGGGGAGTTTTACAGGCACCTTGGCATTCCAACGGGGTTTTCCGTTGACCAGATCCCTTATTCCACGATCCAGGGCATGATGGAGGATTTGCAGCGCGTNGTGCGCTCATTGTTAGTTTCGTGGCAGCGAGTCAAGATAGTGGCAACTTACATCCTGCCACGTCTCGATTTCTTTTTGTGGGGTGTCAAGGTGGAAAAGAGTCTCGTTAANGTCGCGGACAAACAAATAAAGAAGCTGGCCAAGTCGTGGCTCAACCTCTCTCAGCGCGCCAGCGCGGAAGTGGTCGACTTTTTCTTTAATAAAGGGTACTGTGGCCTGCTTCCGCTCGCTGACCTCGCCGACGTTCTGACGATAACGCACGTCTTCCGTGTTCTCACGGCTGGCGACGCTGGAGTCAGAGACCTGACATGGGCGTTGCTGAGGGGAGTGGTTCAGCGGCAAATTGGTTCAGTACCAACGGAGCATGACATCGCTTCGTTTCTCTCGGGTTCGCTCAAGAGAAAATTCCGCGACGGTGGAGAGCGCTCCCTTTGGTCCGATGCGCGGAACGCGTGCAGACGCCAGTTCTCCAGACTGCGGATTTGCTGGATGTGGGCGGAAGAAACCCGGGAGTTTCTTTTGGAATGTCGAGGTTCCGGNNGTCACCTAGTGAAGATCCCACTAGAGGCACGGGCGCAGGTCATACACACGTTACGCTTGGCTATTGCATCATGTTANACGAGCATTTTGCTCGCAAAAAAAGATCAGAGAAAAATGTTTAAAGTGGCCATTTGTTATGGAGTGAGCAATTATTTCATGCGCACTGGCAGCTTCAGTGCGTCGCTTTGCCGACTGGCGCTTCCTGCACCGAGCCCGACTCGACGTGTTGCCGCTCAACGGCGCACGTCGGTGGGGGGATGGCGATGCGCGTTGTCGGCAGTGCGGGGGGAGTGCTGGGACCCTTTTCCTTGTCCCAGCCGGCTAGCTTGGGCGATCATTTTATCACAAATAACCTAGCCGTGACGAGAGGGTGCATCTTACCCCTTACTAGAGAAAATAAGTATAATAACACAGTGAAAAATGAGGTATGTCCTCAGGCCCTCGTTAGTAATACCAATATATTATAATTTTAATAGGCAATAAATAGGCCGTTGCAGGATGATGTGCAGAATTAATGTATACTATTTAAATTGTGCGACGTTTCGACTTTATTTTCAGTACTTTTCAATCTAAAAATTACAATAAATATTGAGAGTCCGTTTACAATATAATTGATTTGTACATACCATTATGTTAGGTATGTTATTTGGTCATATTTTTAAAAAATAATTGTAATGTTAATGATGTGTTTCGTTCTTTGCATATTTCCTCGTCACTTACAAAGTAACTAATATACAACTGTCTTGATTCAATATATTTAACTGACTGACTATTTNAACTTATTTTTGTTACGCTTCCTCTGTGTATGTGTTTATTATAATACAATTTTATCGATAATCGGTAAATAATTTTCAGGTAATAATTCCGTGTCTACCATTAAATTTAAACCAGCTTTCTGTTTTT